CCAGGCTGGAATCACAGTGTAGACAGACAAGCTAGCTGGAGCAGAGGCCTTGTGCATACAGATGGATAGGGGCTTGGGCCTTTCCAAGATATTTCTGTCCAGGTTCCATGGCAACTCTTTAGATAGACAGGATGATATGGAATGATTTGCTGGCACATCCTAGTGGACTGAAGGAATTTGAAATGACTGATTGATGGAGCTGGAGCTTGTTTTGCAATCATTTTAATTTGCTGAACAAACCTGCTGCAAATAACCTTGACTTGGGTTAAAATGTCCCCTTCCCTTTGTCTCCAAATCCAAAGCATCGCTATAGGGCCTTCCAGGTGGCTAAGGATAAAACAATGATTCCTTCACCCCTTCCTGTAGCAAGAGATGGTCACCCCAGCTCAAGAGACAATCAAAGGGGTCCAAAGACATTCAACAAAAACAATCAGAGGCCCTTAGAGCGTTTTCCCTCTCAAGGGAGACTGAAAAGAGGAGGGCTGAATAGTGCTGCGGAGACAAATGAGCGAGGACGTGCTGAGGTCGACAGAATAACAAATGGGACAGCAGAGGTAATTGGGCCATTCCTACGGACCCTTTTTCCAACACAGAAAAGAAGAGACATTCAATGAAACTAAAAGGGAACTTGTGTGTCAAACCGATACACAGAAATGCCTAATCAGTCTGTGGAACTCATTGCCACAATCTCTCAACCATGTCCAAGAGTTAAGCGGGTTAAAATAGAACAGATATAAGCCCTTGTGCTTCAGGGCAGAAGCCAAACACAAACTGCCTAGGCTCAGGCTGAAACGTCACCAATTGCCAGGTTATTGCCTAATGGTCCATTATGGAGATACCTGCACCTTCCTCCGAAGCAGCTGGTGCTGGCGTTAAGAGACAGGATTCAGGGCGGGACGGCGTGCTGGTCTGATGTAGAATGGCCATATGCCTGCGTTCCATGGACTGGACCGTGATCCTGGCCTAGGGGAGGGGAGGGCATCGTGTTGGCAGAGTGTACAGCGGACAGAGCTCTGCGGAAACCTTCACTGATGGACTGTTACACAGAGTGCCCTGGAGAACAGCAATCATCATTATACTCCAGAGCAGTGGCTCTCAACCTTTCCAGACTACTGTACCCCTTTCAGGAGTCTGATTTGCCTTGCGTACCCCCAAGTTTCACCTCACTTAAGAACGACTTGCTTACAAACTCAGACATAAAATACAAAAGTGTCACAGCCCACTAGTACTGAAACATGGCTCACTTCCTCATTTTGACCATATAATTATAAAATAAATGGATTTGAACATAAAATACTGCACTCACATTTCAGTATAGTACATAGAGCAGTAAAAGCACGTCACTTGTCTGCATGAAATTTTAGTTTGTACTGATTTTGCTAGTGCTTTTTATGTAGCCTGTTGTAAAACTAGGTAACTATCTGGATGAGTTGATGTACCTCCCGGAAGACCTCTGCGTACCCCCAGGGATATGTGTGCCCCTGGTTGAGAACCACTGCTCCACAGGATTCACAAGTCAGTGGCCCACGTGTGCTCCACGATACAGGAGTGCTGGTGCGAGAGCTCCATAGACTGGGATGGACCTAGCTCAGGCCCACAAAAAGCTGCAATGCTCTGAATTCAGAACATCCCAGTGCATTTGAAAGAGCCTTCGAGTCAGCTGGTAGAGTCTGTCTTTCCTGGAGGGCTGGGTGAGGAGGAGGGAGATTAGGCCCTTGTGACTGTCATGTGAGCAGAGCAGCAGGTCTGACTTCCTTGGGGATTTTTTAAAAATTATGGATGAAAGCCTGGCTCCACTGAAGTCAGTCGCAAAACTCCCATTAGCTTCAGTGCATTGGAGACAACACAAAGATACAACGGCCCAAAGCTGGGAGTGCCGCGGCTGCCCATCCACAGAAAGGCACGCGGGGGCGAGGAGGATCTCCAGCACCACGTACGATGGACGGGGAGAATGGAACAAGACACAGGCTGTCCAGTGCTGGTCAGAACTACTTTGGGCGGCCATTTGCACTTTTCCTGAGGGTTTTCACAGTAGTTATTGCTTTTGGCTGACAGAGCAGGGGCTCTGCCTTACGTTACAAATGCATCTGCAGCAGGGAGCCCTTTGTATGTCTGCTATGAAGTCCATAGGCCATATTCTGCCCACAGCTATGCTCCTGCAGCTTCAGCGAAGTCAATGGGGTCACACCGATGTAACTGGATTTGGGCCTGTAATGGCTACAATAAAAAGGTACTTGGAATTAACTGGAGGAAGAATCCCAAAAGAGTATCACATGGTAAAATGGACCGAGCCACACACCTGCCTCAGCAGTTTGCAGGCACAGGAAACGCAGAAGAAGCTGCTTCATTCTTACTACACAATCCCGCTTCCCCTGTGCACATCTCCACTGACTCCAACGCGGAGAGCGTCCCACAGACGTCTCGAGTCTTCCAGGAGCAAACATCACCTGGGGAACTGAACATTTTGCAGACCCCATCCACACGATGCACCCCCAATTCCACACAGCCTCAGGAGCCTGATCCTGCACAGTGATGAGCACCCTCTAAAAGCTGCTCAGCAGCACTTTGCAAGGTCAAGCTCGGAGTGAGCTCCTTACAGCCCAGGGTCCTTCAGCAAGCACGCCGATGTCTCTGTTGTTATGCCAGAGGGGATGGCTTAGCCTTGGGGATCATATACAGAGATTCCTTGGAGCCAAAGGTTCAAATCCTGGCAGGGTCAACTCATTCCTTTATCCTTCTCAGGGCAGTACATTGAGCTGCTTGTGGCCTGCTGCATCGGGATCAGGGGATTCAGTAAATCCTCCATCCTCCTCATACCACCAAGCTGTACTGGAGGCAGGAATGCCCTGGCACTGACTACAGAAAGCAGGAAGGGGCACTAGTGAAACACCTGTGTTCTGCACTCACCCAGCTCTGCTAGTCATCTCCCTGGTGCCTGGCACTGATGGTAACAAGGCAGCACTAGCTGCCACTGCACTGGACCCCTTGGAACAGGTGGATGGGTGGCATGACTGCCCTCACCCAGAGAGGTGACTGTTGATTAGACATTAGGATTCCATGCCTGTCACTGGGCAGCTTCTGAGCTGGATTTAAAATAAGCATTAAGTTGTGTCCTGCCTCTGAGAAACAGCAGCAAGCAGAGCCCAACAGGCAGCATCTGGGGGGTCTGGGACCAAGCTACACATAGTATGGGACCTGGGCTGGTGAAGCTGTTCACAGCCAGCTTTGCATGCTCCTAATTGTGGGGGACTCTCTGCACAACCTTGGGCCAGCCAGTTTCTCTGCCTGCAGCTCACTCGCTGTGCCCCCCCTTCCTCCAGGGCTTCTGGAAGGCAACGTTCCCATGTCTGTAAAGACCCTTGGGAAAGTGACCAGAAGAGTGCAAAGGACATTATCATAAGCCTGTGCCAGGAATCCGAATTGACAGTAGTAACAGCTGACCTGTCACCGTGGACAAATAACGGCCGACCCACCAGCTTGAACTGGTGACTGCAGCTCATGGCTCTGCTTCCTGAGAAACCCACCTAACGATCCCAGAGAACCGGATATTGGAGTCCAGCCCAGATGACCAACTAAAAGCTGGGTAGGATCCAGAAGCAGCCGCCTCCAGGGGCAAAGGGCAGCTACACTATTGGGACAGGGACTCTTCTGTGCAGAAATATTGTACCCGGCCCCTACATGGAAAGGGCCTGCTGCCGGAGTCACAGCAGAGAAGTGAAGAGTGGCTGTCTACCTGCTCACTCAGGTGCACCAGTCACCTCCCTGGAGGAGCAGAGAGCAGACAGCATTTGTCTCTGGAAGATTAATTCAGAAAAGAGAAAGCCCAACGTCTAGAAAAAGGTGAAATGCTGGTACTGAATTTAGCATGTGGAGAGTCCATTGCTCACATCAGGCCACTGCACCACAGAGAATACAGGCCACGCACCCCACCCCCATATACACCAGATACTATCTTCTGTTCCTGCTTGTGTGTGCACATGTAGCGTGTGTGAGTGAGAGAGCAAATGTGCGTGTCTATGTACAGTTTGTGTGCGCGCGTACCCTATGCCTGTACACTCACGTGTGTTCCCCAAACACCGTTCTCCACTAATACACTGGCCCAGGCCTTCAGCTGCGTAAACGTGTGCAGCCCCATCAAGCCCTGCATTTGGTACGACAAATGTAGCAAGGGAATGGCACTTGTCAGAAAAGGATCCACCAAGCCCCCCAGGGCTGCTGGCTTCCAAGGTCTTTTGGAATCAGTCTCTAGCCGTGCACTGGTCACTGAGCTTTTCCTAGGCCCTTTACTTGCCGCATTGTCAACAAAGGACCAGGGCTCTGGCCCTCCGCAATAATTAGCGCGTGGTAGGCAGGACAAGTGACATTAGGCAAGATCCCCCAGTCAGTCCCCTCTCCTGAGGGGCAGCACAGACCCGTGTCCCAGGGCAGGGACTCCGCACAGGCCCGTTCCCATTTCGCGAGGGCTGACAGACAGGCTCCTTGCGCTGCCCAGCGTCATGCAGAGCACAAAGACACAGGGCAGGGCTATTCCCCCCGGAGTGCAGAACACAAGCCTATTACTGCGCTTCACCCTGAAAGCGCATCATTGCCACAGCCGGCACTTGCAGCTTCCCCCTGCTCCGGCGGGAGCCCACCTGACAGACCACTCAACCCCCGCCGAGCCCCAACGCTCAGCAAAGCCGTCTGCGTTACCCCTTCTCTATAACTGCACCCGGCGGGGCTGGCTGCTGCCAAGCGCTCGCCGCCTCTCCGGAGCAGCCTCCAGAGCCTAACGCATCCGCACGGCAGAGAAAGGAAACGCCGGGTCCATTTGCAGGGAATGCCGGCTGGCCGCCGGAGAGCCCAGCAGCCCGGCAGCACGGATGCCACGGGAAGATCTGGGGTTCCCAGGCGCCGCTGGCTGCAGCGGATCGACCGCCCGGCAGCGGCGTGGGGCTCGCACGATGCCCGGCCGCCCCGGCAGGTGCGCGGCCCCCGCCTCCCCGCCGACGGCCTCCTACCTTCGCAGCGCGCCGCGGACCGCGCCAAGCCCGCGCCCCTGGCTGTGGCTTGGCCCGGCAGAGCGCGCCTCTCTCGGCCGCAGGGATCCCAGGCTCCGGCCCCTCCGGGCGCCGTCCGCCGTCCGCCAGTGCCCGGCCAGCCCCGCGTCCCGCCAGCCGCCGCCGCCGCGAACCAGGCGGCTCCCAGGGCGGCCGGCGGCGGGGAGCCGGGGAACGCCCCACGCAGGGGCGGGTCCGCCGCGCGCCGGGGAGCCCTGCGGGGGGGCAAAGCCGGGGAGCCCTGCGGGGGGGCAGAGCCGGGCCGGGCCGAGCCGGGGAGCCCTGCGGGGGGGGGCAGGGCAGAGCCGAGCCGGGGAGCAAAGCCGGGGAGCCCTGCGGGGGGGCAGAGCCGGGCCGGGCCGAGCCGGGGAGCAAAGCCGGGGAGCCCTGCGGGCAAAGCCGGGGAGCCCTGCGGGGGGGCAGAGCCGAGCCGAGCCGAGCCGGGGAGCAAAGCCGGGGAGCCCTGCGGGGGGGGCCAGAGCCGAGCCGGGGAGCCCTGCGGGGGGGGGGCAGGGCAGGGCCGGGCCGGGGAGCAAAGCCGGGGAGCCCTGCGGGCAAAGCCGGGGAGCCCTGCGCGGGGGGAGCCGAGCCGAGCCGAGCCGGGGAGCCCTGCGGGCCGGGGGGGGCAGAGCTGGGGGGCCCTAAGGGGGAGCGCGCGGCGGGGGGGGGGCGGCGGAGCCCTGGCCAGAGTCGGGGGCAGCCTCGGGCCGCGGAGTCCCTGCGGCGGGCGAGAAATGAGCCGGGCGGGCGGGAGACAAGGGAGGTCCTGCTCCCCCGGGGGTCCTGCCCCGCCCCGGCTCCCTCCCACCCCGGCCTCTGGGGGTCCTGCCCCGCCCCGGCTCCCCCCCGCCCCGGCCCGCTCCCCCGGGGGTCCCGCCCCGGCTCCCCCCCACCCCGGCCTGCTCCCCTGGGGGTCCTGCCCACCCCGGCTCCCACCCCCCGCCCAGCTCGCTCCCCCGGGGGTCCCGCCCTGCCCCGGCTCCCCCCCACCCCGGCCTGCTCCCCCGGGGGTCCCGCCCCGGCTCCCCCCCACCCCGGCCTGCTCCCCCGGGGGTCCCGCCCCGGCTCCCCCCCACCCCAGCCTGCTCCCCTGGGGGTCCTGCCCACCCCAGCTCCCACCCCCCGCCCAGCTCGCTCCCCTGGGGGTCCTGCCCCTGCCCCTGGCCCCGCCTGGGCTCGCTCCCCTGTGTCCTGCCTGGGTCCGGGCTCGCTCCCTGGGTGCGCTGGCCGCAACCCGCCCCCGCCCAGACAGGACCTGGCGAAAGCCCCCAGACAGAGGGGGTTGAGAACATCGTCGGCTCCTCACTCTCCCGTGGCTCAAGCCCTCTCCCCCAGGCCCGGGCTGCGCGGCGGGGACGGGCAGCTGCCCTGCTCTCAACAGTTCTGAGCTGTCCTCACTCAACCTGCGGTACCGCGAACACTGCAGCGGCCTTCGCTGGACACGCAATCCTTCCCCGTCTCCGTGAATTGGGAGAATAATGCAAATCTTTACACCACGTAAAAAACCCAGCAGATTAAATTATTTTTCTGGCAAGTGGCAAAGCCATAAAAAACCGGCCAGGCCAGTCAAATCTGGGCCAGGTGGGAACCCTAGGAGGCAGGGGCCTGTCATCTCCATGTTTACTACCCGACACAAGCTTGGAAAGCAGCTCTCCCAGCTCTGAGCCCTGGGCCTGAGGCCCGGGAGTATTCTCTCTAGTAGTGCCCGAGTAGAACTATTTAAAATCTTTATCTATTTCCTCCAAATGAGTGCGATAAGCTGAGGAATGTGTGTGGGTGAGACAGCGTGCTAAGGTGTGAGTCGTACACCCCATGAGAGATGTCTGCACTCACCTGGGGGGGGGTGGGCAGCCCCATTAGGCCTTATCCTGCTCTTGCTCATCTGGGAGGAATATGGGACCCCGCTGGGCCTGATCCCCCTCTTGCTCACTCGGGGCATCCTTGGGGCCCTGCTGGGCCCGATCCTGCTCTCATTTGCCCATGCTACCCTGGCGCTGGACCTGATCCCGCTCTCACTTGCCCGGGGTGTCTGTGCCAAGCCAATGGCCCTGCCTTTCCACTCTGGTCTGGTGAGTCAGGTTAGGTCCCTGCAGTGCCCAGCTGGCATGGCAGCATGCAGAGTCCAGCTCAGTGGGGCCAGATGGCTGTGACACTAGGGTGTGATTGGAGTATCTGGCTGCACATGAGAGGGATGAATGGGCACAAAGGGACATGTCTTTTAGTCCCTCACAGTCTTGTCAACCCTCAGAATATCAGGTTTAATATAGAATGGCATAGCCAGCTCAGCCAAAGCTGGGGAGTGTCACCACGGAACGCAATATGCGCCCTGTACTAGTACAAAGCTAGCAGTATTTCATAGCGCATTCGATAGCCCAGTGACTCCTCTGTGGGCCTGTAAGTAAACACAGAGAATTTGATATTAACTGTTGTATGCATCGGTTGTGTGCTGACTATTCAGCACTGATGCCATGCAAGTTTTTTCCCAGGCAGTACAGATTAGATTTGTATAGACAAGGAACCATCCAAGAGAATACAAAATGTTTGAGGTTCTGAGTGGGGAGTTCTCTGCACCCCTACCTTACACTGGTATTGCGAAGTTTAACTTGGGTTTGTAGAGCATTCGAAGACCCTTAGGTGAACGGTGCTATCAAAATGCACAATGGCATGTCTCCATTCTCCCAGGAATGTCTGGAGAAAGAACAGAGCTGCTAAGCAGGCACACAAATGAAATTTGCACAGCTATTTACAGGGACAGCTTCCATTCTGGCCTGATTACTTTAGTGGCTTGAAACCCACAACTGGAAGGTTTCAGAATAGCAACCGTGTTAGTCTGTATCCGCAAAAAGAAAAGGAGTACTTGTGGCACCTTAGAGACTAACGAATTTATTTGAGCATGAGCTTTCATGAGCTACAGCTCACTTCATGGGATGCATTCAGTAGAAAATACAGTGGGGAGATTTATATACACAGAGAACATGAAACAATGGGTGTTACCATACACACTGTAACGAGAGTGATCAGGTAAGGTGAGCTATTACCAGCAGGAGAGCGGGTGGGGAGGGGGGGGACCTTTTGTAGTGATAATCAAGGTGGGCCATTTCCAGCAGTTGACAAGAATGTCTGAGGGGCGGGGGCAGAGGGGAGGAAATAAACATGGGGAAATAGTTTTACTTTGTGTAATGACCCATCCACTCAACTGGAAGAAATTCTAGGCCAGATCCTCAGTTGGTGTTAATCAACATCGCTCTGTTGAAGTCAACTGAGTGATGCTGATATACCCCAGCTGAAGCTCTAGCCCTAGAATTCTTATACCTGACTACAAAACAGTGGCCACGCCTCTAACCATTCCTGCGTGATGCCAACAAGGCACTGGAGTAAAAGAAGACCATCTGGTACAGGCCCCAGAGCCCAGGGGCCAAACTGAGCCACGGGGCTAGGTTGTGAAGCCATTTCAGCTCCCATGCAGGACAGGGCTTTGGGATGCAGAGACATTCCTGGTGCTCAGATACCATGGGGGATGAGCATGGCAGAGAAAGCCAGAGAACAGACTGATGGACAGATAGAAAACATTCAAGATGTGTGGGGAAGGATTTTGCAAGAGAAACATAAAGGCATCACTCTCATTTTAATATAAAAACAGCATATGGAACTTCTCAGGACCCAGGTTTAGGGACAATAACCTCACAGAGAGATCATTTCAAAATGAGAACCAGCATGCAATTCATGGCACACGATATGATTGCATCAAGGCCAGGTACACCTTCTAATAAGCCTAGATTAGTAGCTGGCAGCTTCCAAATGATAAACACGCCAACGTCGAAATGAAATTTCTTCCCTTCCAATGGAAGTGGCCCCCTCATCGAAAACCCTGTGTTGTGGGTTCATAAGCAATACTGACATGATCCATCATGCAAAATGGATTGTTTGCATTTCTCTGGATCACCTGGGAGTGATGGGGACAGTCATGTGTAACACACGCCTCTGAACATCAGCCTCAGTCCAGAGGTTCCCATTTGGAATGAGCACCTAGAAATGTTTGTTCTTCCCAGGCGATTGTTAGAATGGCAGCTCTTGCTCCCTGGATTGCCCGGGAAGGCTTCCCTACACCAAAGTCCTGGCCGAAGGGATTGATTTAGTGCAGGGCTTCTCAACCTTCATTGCACTGTGACCCCCTCTGACAACAAAAATTACTTCATGACCCCAGGAGGGGAGATCAAAGCTTGAGCCTATCCGAGCCCCACTACCCCGGGTGGGGGAACCAAAGCCTGAGCCTCACCGCTTTTGGCAGGGGGGCCAAAGCTGAAGCTCAAGGGCTTCAGCCCCAGGCAGGGGGCCTGCAACCTGAGCCCCACTGTCCTCGGGCTTTGGCTTTGCCCCTGGGCAGTGGTCCTCAAGGCTAGAGGCCTGAGCCCCAGCAAATGTAAGACAGCCCTGGCGACCCATTCAAAGGGAGTCGAGACCCACTTTGGGCTCCCAACCCACAGTCTGAGAACCGCTGATTTAGTGATATAAATGTGAGACGGGCAGCCACACGCCCTGGCCATCACTTACAAAAGCACAGCAAGCAGCTCCCCAGCATGACTGTAGCGCAGGTCCGCTCCGATGCATCCGATGAAGTGAGCTGTAGCTCACGAAAGCTCATGCTCAAATAAATTGGTTAGTCTCTAAGGTGCCACAAGTCCTCCTTTTCTTTTTACTCCTCCCCTGCGATTCCCCCACAGCATGAGGAAAGCTGGTCTGTAAGGCTCTGGCCCTGTAGGAGAGCGAATCCCAAAGCCCTAGCAAGGAGTGCTGGCCAGCAGGCTCTCTCAGGTGTACTGATGGGGCTCCAGCTCAAGCTGTATTACCCCTGCTGATCCCCATGGCTGCAGCCGTAAACATGAGAAGAACATCGTCACTCAGGTCGGCGGAGCCTAAGCCAGTCTGGGCTTTCTAGGTTAGAATGAACTCCTTAAACTCCACCCAGAAACCCAGTCCCAGCTGGTGCAGATCCTGAGCCAGCGTCCCACCCGCCCATGGCAAGATAGCCTGCTTACCAAGGGACTGCTGCCCCCTGTGACCACAGCCTGTATCCAATGCAGACATACACAGAGGCTGAATTAAGGGCCAAGGAATCGTAA